GGCATCCCATATATGTATACCAGGGCCAATGAAGATGTCCAATCTTCTCTCTCTCTCTCTCTCTCTCTCTCTCTGTCTGTCTGTGTGTGTGTGTGTGTCTGTCTGTCTGTCTGTCTGTCTGTCTCTCTGTGTGTGTGTGTGTGTGTGTATGTGTGTGTGTCTGTCTCTCTCTCTCTCTCTCTCTCTCTCTCTCTCACACACACACACACACACACACACACAAGCATTATCCTAACAAACTCTTGCATATTTAATCCTATATGGCATTTGCTACTTAAGAAGATCCAGACAGATGCCACAACACTACCCAAATGTTGTTTTTTGGATGATGTCATGCAACACAGTAGAACAGGAGTTATATGCTGTTGGGGACTGCAGACCACCATACCCTGAATTTCCTGTAAACAACTTGTTTTCCTCTGCTCTGAGCAGCCTGCAGCTGCTCTAAGCATGAGACCCAGATGGTAGGGGAGTGGGTTCTGATGAGTCTGCAGCTGAAAGATCCTGAGAGCTGGGGCGTGGCCAGGGCGCTATATAAGCTGCCCCTGAACACAATAAAGGGGGCACTCTTGGGGAATTCAAGGATGACCCGTGTCCCTGCCTCTCTGTCTGTGTGCGTGTCCATCTCCAGCCCCTTTTCCGGCTCGCAAATGGTTCCATGGTGCAGGCGGTACACTAGAGGCGTGTGTAGTACAAGTAGTACTGAGGCTACAAGTGGAGGCCCCCAGCGAGACTGCGTTACAACGTGCTGAAGTGCTAAGCTGAACAAAACTGATAGGATCAACTTTTGCAGAAGTCTGAATACTAATCAAGCACTATGACAACAGAGGAACGCTTACAGAAGGAAACCACTGTTTTAGCACCACAGAGCCCCTCATATCACATCTAATGATGAGATACGGAACAAACCGCAGTAAACAAGCACAAGACAATCACTGGGTCAGAGGACACCACAGGCCTCAATGCATCCAAAGAGCAAGTGTCTGTGGGGAGGAGGCTTTTTTCTGCAGGTGCCTATTAGAATATTCAAAATATTTTACTTTCAACAAAAACAAAAAATTGCAAGGCAGACAAAGGAACAGGAAAGCAGCCCAGGCATTGAGTTTACCAAACACAGACTTTAAAACACTCAAAGGGAACCACAGGCCATATCTGAACAAGCTCAAAATGTCAACAAAGAGACAAATTATAGCAACTCGACAGAGGTTCTGAAATTGAAAAGTCAACAATTGAAATGAAGGTTCTCTAGAAGGATGTGATGATTGATACTGATTGCCAACTTGACAAGATCTATAATTATTAAGAAGACACGACTCTGGGTGTGTCTATGAGGGAGTTTCGAGATTGAGTTAAGTAAGATAGGAACCTATTCTAAATGTGGGACACACCATTCCAGGAGCAGGGGTCCCAGACTACAGAAGAGGGAAAAGTGAGCTAAGCATCATTCATCTCTCTCTGCTCCCCGACTGAGAATGCAACCTTACCAGCGGCCTCACACTCCTGCGCACGCCTTCCCAGAAAAGATGGACTGGACTCTGAAAACGCATGAGCAAAATAAACCCTTCCTTCTTTTAACTACTTTCATCAGGTAGAATCTGGTCACAGTGATGAGGACAGGAACTAACATGGGGCTTACAGTCAGATCTGCAACAGGTAAAAGACAGAATCAGTGAACATAAAGAAACTGAAATCACCCAGTATGAGGAGCAAAAATAATTAATAATAATAAAGGAAAAGGAATAGAAACCTAAGAGTCCTGAGGGACATAGCAGAGTACAACTTTACATACCCAAAATTCAAATCCCAGGGTAAAAAGGGAGAAAGAGGCAGGTGGAATATTTAAGGAAGTCAAGGCTGAACACACTGAAGTTTGGATGAAAGATAGGACACACCTAAGAAGCTCAAAACACATGACTTATCGGCACAAAATTCTCCACTGAGTAAAAACAGCAAAGAAACAGAAGGTTTTAACCAAGTGTCCAAAGAGATACGGATGTTTAATTTCAAAACCTAAAACTGGGGATGGGGGAAGGGAATCAACCACAAAATTAGGAACACTGGTATACATTCTATTAGAATACTAACACTAATCAAATACAGCCACAGAGAAAATCCAGCCAAAACCATAGACAAGCCTGCTCAGGCTAATGATGATGCCCTGTGGCATATCCACAGTGAACAAGGTTCAAGGAGCAACTCCCCCCAAAAACCAAGAGGACCAAAACCAGGACCAATCAGGCATTTGGGCCACCTGAAATAAAGGCTAAGCAGTCCTTTGATAATGGCCGAGGTCCTTATCCACCACAGCAAAGATCAAACAAACTTAGGTACAGTGTGTGGGGGAACACGTGTGTAAGTGCTCACATGTGTGTGCATGAAGATAACCTGGCAGAACTCTTTAAAGAGACGACCAAGCTGCTCCTTCCTGAGACTTTGCCCAGTCTGCTCTCTAAGGCTGTGGTAAAGTCAATCTGACCTCCCCAAAGTCACTTCCTCCCTGACTTCAGCATGTACCCAGAAAGCTCCCCATGTCTTCTGAGACAAGAACAGAAGTTTTGTTTACCAACTTATTCAACACCTTGTCTTTCCAGACCGTATTTATCCTTTTTCTTTCCTAAGAGACAGGGTCTCTCATATAGCCCAGGCTAACCTCAAACTCACTGTACCAAGAACATGAATTCCTGATCCTCTTGCCTCTAATTTCCAAATGTTGGGACTGTGGTGCTTTTGCTCTCTGTCAACTCAGAAAGCTACATACTATACAATGGCTATGAGAAGCAAGTATTCAGCCGTGACTTTAAACAAACAAGACCACTCTCAGAGGAATGGTGTGGGATCTAAAACAAGAACATAAAAAGCATCCTTCAGACATTCCATGTTAGGGTTACCATCTTCACGCCGGTTCCAGAGCTCCTGTCCCCCTTATCTGAAGTGATACTTTCCCCATCAGGAGACAGTACAGGGTGCCCCTGGCACAAGAAGAAGCTTCAGGGGGGTTCAGTTCACATGGAGGCACTGCGGGGCAGGAGGACAGCTCTCCACAGAGAGATAATGGGCTAATTTATTCCACATCATGTTGTAAGCAACAGCTTGACACTGTGACACCAGTAATACCGTTATCCTTACTCCAGGTGGTGGGATTGATGCAGTCTAACGTCCCGAAATATGGCGTAACACATACAAGCTGGCCCCACTGAAGAAAACCGAAGAGAACATCACCGGTTCAGGTTCCACGGCAGAGCAAGCTATAGCAGCACTTCACTCAATAGGTTTCCACAACGATCCATCTGCACAGACCTGCTGACCTCACAGAACGGGCCAAACCAACACATGGGTTAAGGAAACTGCTCCGTGGCTTCCCAAAGTCTGCGTCCGGTCCTTTCTGACAGAACAGTGTGACTCTGCCACACCACATCTCCTGACAAAGAGGCAGTCCTAGCTTGCAAACAGTCACCATCTAGCAACACCTTGGAGCCGGTTCGGACCTCTTCCTTGGCAATCAGAGATGAACAACCAAGCCATGATGAAATGACTGACATTCTACTAAAACTACAATAGTAATTATGTTCGAAAAAGAGGGAAGATGAAAATAGAAAATGATGGGCATGTGAGGAAAGTGGGGCTGGTGGGAAGGTCCAGCGATGCAGTCACGTTAGAAGAGCCTGACCTGTTCCCTAGACGAACCAGCATTTCCACTCCCAGGTCTACACCCAAGACAAACGATAACACACGTCTACACAAACACTCAAACAAGTGCTCACTGCGGCATTACTCAAAAAGCCAAAAGGTGGAGGCAACCTAAATGGTTACTTAACTGTAAGACTAAGCAAAAAGCAGTCCTTCATGCAGTGGAATCCCGGTCAGTAGGAAAAAGGACAAAGCACTACCACACGGTGACCATCAGAAAATTACATGACGTCCAAACACAAAAGAACAAACATCAAGGTCTGCTGACATGAAATGCCTGAAAAGGGCAGAACAGAAGAGGGAACCAGGGCTTGCCTAGGGCTGGGTAGCAGGGTGGGAACGGCTGCTCTGTGGTGCAGGATCCAGCCTAAGGCAATGAGAATGTTCTGAGGTTAAGTTACGTGATGTCAGAGACCACCATCAACTGTACACGGGTAGACGATACAGGATGCAATTTATTGCATTTTTAAAAGCAGAAGGGCTTAACAGAACGCAGCTCCAGAGCACCTCCCTTGTGTTCCGGTGCTGACACCAGCCTGGCGTCAGTGACATGCAACCCACACGATTCCTAGGTCTTACTGTAGACCACCCGCTCTCAACCTGTGGGTTATAACCCCTTTGGGGGTCAAATGACCCTTTCATAAGGATGGCAAATCAGATATTCTGCATATCAGGTATTTACATTACAACTCACAACAGTAACAAATTACAGCTACGACGAAGTGAAGAAATAATTTTACAGTTGGGAATCGCCAAAACGGGAAGGACTGTGTAAAGGGCTACAGCATTTTAAGAAGGTTGAGAGCCATCGCTCTACACGAAAGCCACACCCTGCACAATCTCTGGGGCACACTTACTTCTAGACAGTGGCATGGGGCCTTATTCTCTGACTCCACCTCACCAGGACCCAGCAAACAGCCTTGGCACAGCACTGTGCCCCATCCTGAGGTCAGTTCCACTGCTGCCACAAGCTGTCACTGCAGGTCACGCAACACACTATGGGGGCACCAAGAGTCTTCAGGCGCTTTCAATGGGTGACAGTACCCCCGAGAGAGAAAAACAGTTCTAGAGACAAGAAAACCAAATATGACCAGGGTCCGTGACCCTCCCAAATCCGGCACAACAGGCCAAAGAGGCAATTGGTAAATTATAAAGGCTGGCGTGAGAAAGAAGCCTGAGGAACATGCATATACCATGCATATACCATGCATGCCCTCCTCAGAAGCACTGGTGTCCATGGATAGCCACACTGAGGAACCCCACCAAGACTCAGCAGCCCTAAGGATGCAGATCCATGCACTTCAGTTACTTACCCTCTGAGAGTCTCGATGGCAGCAGCAGGCCTCGTCTCCCCAGTTCCGCCAATGCCAGACATCCACCATGCCATGCCTTATCCGTCTCCTGAAAACTAAGACCACAGTTCGAATGTCAACTCCAGATTGAAAGCCCACACTTTTGCAAGAAACACAAGCTAATCCATATTCTGGGCCCATGAGTCTTATTAAAACCATGACTTCTTGGTTAAACAAATAAGACACTCAAACCCAACACGAAGACAACTGCCACATCAACACTACTCTTTACATCACCCAACGATAATGAAAGGACTTGGGTCAGCTCAAGACCAATCCAGAGACATCCCACTATCTTCAGCGTCAAACCAGGCCATCTGCCCTACATGATGTCCTGTACCATGGCCACAATACTCTGACCTCGGTCCACTCTGATCAGACAGTAGAGAGTCAAAAGAGATTCCACCCAATTTAGAGGACATCAGTAGAAAAGGAGGATGCCTTTGCATGGCACCCACTGTTACCTCAGTGATCACATTCAAGATTTAAAAAGAGATTAAATAAGATGGCCACCATGTCACATGCTCTAATCCCAGTACCTGGGAAGTGGAGGCAGGAAGGTCAGAAGTGTAAGGCCATCTGAACTACGCAAGTTCAAGACTACATTGCTGAGATGCATGAGATTCCATCTCAAAACAAAGAAAAGAAAGAGCATTTAAGACTTTTTCAAAGGCATGGAGGTATCAAGTCTGTATGTTCCCAGACTAATGATGAACTTGTATGCTCAAGCAATCCTTCTGCCTCAGCCTTCCAAGTAGCTGGGCATACGAGAACCCAATTTTGCACCCAAATGAAATAGGGTCTCACAAGCAACATTTTATATTTAAAATCAATGTGTCTGGGTACTCAAAAGGTCTCTTCAGGGTGTGGCCCGTCGTAACTACAACATGAGTGACTGTCTCAGACTGGTCAGGGCCGCTCTGAAGTTTCTGTATTTTGCTGCCAACATAAACATGAAGATGCACATCACACACACACACAAAAAAAATCCAAACAAATGACAGGATTTTACCTATTCTGGTTGAATTCATTTGACAGCAAATGAAATGTGTAGGAAAATCATCACTAAACTGTACACCTAGCTGCTTTGTTCACGAACTACAAAGAGACGAAAAGACGTCACTGACGTGTACAAGATGGACACAACATGGGCCTTCGTGAGCCTACAGACACAGTTGTCCTCCTACTCACCACCACCACTGATGACTCACCCATAATTACCACTTCTTAATGCGCCAGGTGTCTTACCAGGTGTCTGCTCAGCGGCTATGCAATCATTTCAAATCTTGGGTTTTCTGTTTTATTTGTTTAGACCAGGTCTCATGGACCCAACCTGGTCTCAAACTCGCTATATAGCTGAAGCTGGCCTTGAACTCTTGACCCTCCTATCTCTACCTCTCAAGTGCTGGGATTATAAGAGCATGCCACCACACCTGGTTTCATTTCCAAACCTTTATGTTCCTCAGGATTTCAAACGGAAAGAGACGCTTCCTCCCGCTTTTATGAGGATTACCATCAGAGTGAACCTAACACATTATAATGTAATAATGACTCAAATACAGTAAACTAACTTCATTTCTAAACTACAAGTGTGTCACTATGGCTCCAGGCAGGCAGGCCTGAGATGCTGCTATCACTACTACATACTTGTGTCTGAGAAAACCCAGCCCTCACACAACAAAGGCAAAGAAACAGACTTTGGCCAAGTGCTAAGGGCACGCTATTATCTGAAATCCGAGCCTAAGCTCCTAACCTAGGGGTCCAGACAGAGAAAGCACAAAATGTTGAGATGCCATTAAACGGGTTGGAGGAAGACGCTGGGAAACCCAGGCCTCTGTACAGACCCAACATCCTGACCCTTCCATCAGCATGCAATGTGGACTGAGAATTCAAGAGCAGTAACACCCTTTCTGATTCCAGAACACACAGAAATGGGATACACTTTTGTATCTGCCGTCTATTTAAAAAAAGAAAAAGAAAAGAAAAACAGACCCATGATTAGGTTAAATGAGCTAGACTCCAACATCAGACCAAGACTGAAAGCCAGGAGGAAGGAACACAGTCTGGGGAAGCAGTACACACCAGAACCCTGCAGCACTCAAAGAGAATGGGCTGAGAATGCCAGAGAGACTGGAGGCAAGAGAGTGCAGAAGTTCCGGGAGGGTGGGGGGAGGTGCGGGGAGGGGGGGGGCCGGGGGGGGGGGGGGAGGTGCCGGGAGGGTGGGGAGTGCACCTGCACAAAAAGTCTACCTGACTGGAGGGAATGTGCAGACACCCTAAGAGGGAGGGGCAAAACAGTGCTTGGAACTCCGCAAAAGCTGGGAAACGATGGAATCCAACCCTTCCTAAACCTCTGCTTACATGAAGAGCAAAAAAGGCCTTAGCTGTCCTCAGAAGCCAGGAAATACTGGTACTAAGTTCATGGCATCAGCAGCAAGCCATCTCAGGACCTCCAGAAGGAGCTCCAGGGACAAGGTCTAAGAAAAATCTAGAGAATCTTGAGAAAAGAAGCTACACACAGTATCTTCTCTCTACACTCCACACAGCAGTCCCAGTAAGAATGCTTTCTGCTAGGACTTTCACTACATATACCGTGGAGTATCTCCTGCGGTTTCCACTACATACACCGTCAGTCTAAAACCGTCTCTGACAAGCGACCTCCTGCAGCTTCCACTACATACACCACCTGTCTAAAACTGTCTCTGACACGCGATCTCCTGCAAACTGCCTCTTAAGTAGCCCCAGGCAAAATGAAGAAGGGCCCATTCCAGAAGGAAGTCGATTTTGGCTGTTGGTGGGTCATCTCTAAAGACACAAGGAGAAAGGACTGGAGCGCCCCAAGTGCTGATAACATACTTCCTGCCAGAATAGCAGGCCCAGAACCGTGCTGTCAACAAAGGGCAGTGAAAAAGGAGTGTCTGATGCCCCTGCTCAACTCTCTACTTCCAAAGCCCAGGAAGAAAACCATCACACCCAGAATAGTAGTCATTAGGAAGGAAACAAAACCAATGCCTCTGTCTATGAGTACACAGTGCCAGTCTATGACCCAAGGATCACACCCACCTAATAAGCCACGTTACACACAGGCCATGCGCCCACATACCCAGAATGTCCTGGGAGGCTAAACTCCAATTCATTACAATGCAACTCCAAATCCGGGCCTCAGACATTCAAGGCTCTTAGTGTCCACTCTGGCTAGTAGCAACATGAGGCCTATAGATTCAGAACGTTCCCTCATTCTATGAAGCTCTGCCCATCTGCAGTACAAATGTAAGTAAATGTACACGTACTTTTGTAAGGAAGTGTACAAAACTTACACTTGAAGGTGAACTACATTTGCATGGGTTCAACACTGACGTCATTTCTTTCTAAAGGTTTTAGATACATAATGGTGCTGAAAAAAGCAACGTATCGGCTAACTTAAGTTTTCAAGTTTAACTTGAAGAGCAAAAAAAATTAGGCTTTGGGGTTCTAACAAACAGCACAATTGAAAGAAAATCTATTAGTACACAAGAGCAGAAAGCCACAAGGAATAACCTACCTGAAGCAGTCCAACACAGACCCCACCACATCATCTGCCAGCTCTCTGGGAAGCCTTCCAGCCATTCTACCAATCCTGAAAAAGAAAAGCAAGAGTTTATCTACTATATATACGACCATCTTGAATAAGTCTCCCATTCCCCAAAGGACAGCAAGCCTCAAATACTGCTCAGCAACAATGCCAAGGACAGGGCACGTGACTCTTTGGGCACGTGAACAGGGTGTGTGGTCACCTCTCCCCAGAGTAATACAGACACTGAACTCATCACTGATAACAGCCCCTGAGTACTAGAAGGCTGCAAAAGCCAACCTAGGCCCTCTCACCTATATACTGTCCCATTTCCACAAAAGGCTAGTCCAGGCCCTGCACAGAGGAAAGCAGAGACCTCAAGTCAAGCCCGAGAGAAGGCTCCTCCCAGCGTGTCTCACTGTGCATTTGTCTATCCTTCCCAGCCGGACAGACTTCAGGCCAAGAACATCTACTACTGGCATAAATTCCTAGGGCAGCCCCCTTTAGTCTGTGGAGAGTTTCCTCTTTGTGATGTCAGGGGAATCTGTGAGCAGGAAACATCCCTGCCTTGCTCTATTTTTACCATACAGAATCTCCTCAACAACCTAACATGTAACTTGTAGAAACCAACTATTACTAATATTGGCCTCACACCACTTTAGGGAACTTAAATTTAACCTCGGAATTTTTTTTTAAATTTTTGAGTTTTTGAGACAGGGTCTCACAATGTATCTCTGGAAGCCCTGAACTTCCTACATAGATCCGGCTGGCTTTGAACTCCCAGCCATCTGCCTGCCTCTGCCTCCCAAATGCTGGAATTACCATTCCCAGCCAGTAATTATCTTTAAATGTACAGTATATAAAACAACAGCTCTACCATTTGAAAATCTACAAACTATTTACAACTCTCAAAGCCCACGCAGTTTTCAGGAACACTGGCTTAGACACACCTGCCCCTCACCGCTGGCACTCGGCACTTGGCCTCACTCGGCTTCTATACATACCCTTTGGCTGCAGACCACCGCACCACAGTGTCCTTGTCCTTCAGTCCAGTGAGTAGCTGCTCTGCAAAAACCAGGACACACAGCATCAGCCTACAGAAAATCTTAGTCCTCTTGCTTACATGCAAACTACTCCACCAATCCTGCACCCTACTCCAAAGCATACACTGTGGGAATTAGGCTGAGAATCTTAACTTTAGCCAGCCATGCTTATAATCTCAGCACGTGGCAAGCTGAGGAAGGAGAAAATCAGTTTGGAAACCCCAGCACTCAGGAGGCCAAGGCAGGCAGAGCTCTACTGAGTTCAAAGCCAGCCTGGGCTATACAGAGTTCCAGGCCAGTTAGGGCTACACGGTGAGACCATTTCTCCAAAAGTAAGAGTCTTAATTGTTTTCTGTTTGTTTTGTTTTCCACTTTAGTGGAAGGATGGGCATGATGTGGGCATGCTACTGCCTGAATGTAGACACCAGAGAACAGTTTCTAGGAGCTGGTTCTCTCCCTCCATCACTCAAGTTCCAGGAATCAAACTTGAGTTGTCAAGTTAGTCCCTTTACCCACTGAGCCATCTTGCATGCCCAAGAGGTCTTAATTTTATTTTAAATGTTATAATATATGAGCACATTGTCTGCATGTATGTATATGCACAATGTGCATGCCTGGTACCTATGGAAGTCAAGAGGGGGTCAGAACCCCTGGAGCTAGAGTAACAGATGATTGTGAACCATCTTGTAGGTGCTAGGAACCAAACCAGCAGGGTTCTAAAAGCTGAGCTCTCTCTCCAATCCTGAGTCTTCATTTTAGTTACAATGAAAGCACTTCTTTCCCGCTTTTAAACAACCACAGAAAAGGGCATTTCTGTCACTTCCTAACAACAATCAGCAGGAAGCAAGCTGCCTCCTCAGGTAAAGGCCTCAGTGAGCCAGAGAGATCAAAAGAAACCCGAAACATCTGGTAAGGCTCCCACAGAGGAAGATGAGACCTTTGGGGACTAGTCAGAAGGCTATCCCAGGTCACACAGCCCTACAAGCCCAGTATGGTCCAAACACTGGTCGGAGGGAAAACCCCAGAAGAACTGACATGGACAAATAGCTAACGGTTGGGGGTGGGAAGAAACAAATCAGCAGGCTGGGTGGTCTTTGGGGGAGCAGAGCGTAAAGTAGCATGCCTGAGGCAGGTAGGTAGGCAATAAGAGAGAAGGAGCAAGAAAACTCATCCTGTGTCTACGGAGTTCAAGGTGGTTTAGAGGGACCCAGGATGGGTGTTGTGCCACAGCAGCTAAGGAAGAGAATCCTAACGGGGGAAGGGTCGTCCAAGAAAAGACCATATACATGTGAGTGCTGGCCGCAGAAACACCACTACGGAGGTCAAGGAGACAATACAGACAGCGGGAAAAACCTGTCCTGAAGAATGAGTGGACAGGACGCAGCAAGGGAGATGATCACATGGCTCTGTATCTCCCGCCAGGATCCTCCCAGGAAATGGAGGCTGAGGATCCCACTCTACCCAGCATCAGTAGTAGGGAAGGGAGAGTGAGTGCATAGTGGTGAGCCTGAGGCTGGGCACAGTAAAGGGGGACTGGGAACACTGGATCAAGATCCCTGATAAGCGTGGAGGCCTAAAATAGTCTGAGATGATGGAAAGCATGCTCAGACGAGACAGGAGGATAAAGGTTGGAGACGTGAGTCCCACGTTCCGAGTCTGTTTTCCTGGGAACCCTGTTTCCCTGAAGACAACCAGGGATAGCCACTTAGGGGTCAGGGTGTACGAAGGCAGTGTGGAGGGTGAAGGGACAGAGGGAAGCTGGTGCCACTAGAGCGAGTATCCATGGGGAGGTCAGTCAGGGGCCACATGCTAGGTGAGGGAGGGGAAGGGGAGGGCAAACAGAAGAAAAGCACCAACACGCTGGAGATGAGGCATGCATGACACACGCCGTGGCTCCACTTACCTATCACGCTCTCCACCCCCTCTGGGACATCGTAGTCTTCATCACCATCAGAAGTTAAGCTATCAGACAGCGGCTTCTGCTCACTCTTACCCGGGGCACTGAGCTGCAGGTTGGCAGCCAAAGACCGAGAGCCACGCTGATACCTGTGCACAACAAAATTATCTCAGGCTGGTAGGCACAGCCTGACCCTAAAAGCAAGTTGTCTGGTAAGTGAAGTCATCAACTTAGCATCCCTCAAAATCATACATGAGGCCTGAAAAAAAATCTCACACACCATACAGACTGGGGGAGAAAGAAGACTACTGATGTAATACTATCACGACAAGCCTCAAAGAAAGTCAACCTAGAGCAGACTCATGCCTTAATTCTGAAGAGCCATCCATATGAAGGCAGAAGGCAATGGCAAAGCCTCACCACAGGGGACACATGAAGACATCAGGGCCTCACCCTTGCTCACAAGCAAATGGCTGCCTTCTCCAGCTGCTTGGCATTCTGGCCTCAGCCCTCAGCCCAGGCCACAGAGCCCACTCCTTACCTATGCGCCAAGTGCAGCTCTGAACAGATCTCCCAGTTGCCTGGGGAACAAGAAAAAGGGAACCAACAATAATGTCGCTCAGGGACACCACTCAACCATCATCTATCTAGCCCTGAACAAGCAACTCCCTCTACAAGTCGGCATGCTAGAGTAATCAAAGCCCACCTCCAAAGAGAATTCAAACAAGAAAGGGAGATTCTGCCTGAATCTCTGAGACCGACTTGGGCTGAGGCAGGGTGCTCTCCTCCTGGACACAGAACCAAAGCTGTGCACCCACCTTTATCGCTGGCTCACAGGCACTGCACAAGTTTGTGTGCAGCAAACACACAGCACAGAAGTGCTACACAGGTCACTAGACAGACACGAGCTGTGAGGACAAACACAAAACTCACACACAATCTCCCTCACGTCCTCAGTCATTCCCACAATGAGCAAGGACAGGACAGGACCCAGAGAGAAGACTGGGGAAAACTGCAGAGTAATCAGCTCTCAGGGGATCTTAGGGTCCAGAGAAGACCGCAAGTTCCAGCTCTCACTTAAGGAAAACCTGTGTACACAAGAGAGAGCTGCATCCTCAGAGAAGAACTGAAATAAACTAACAAAACTAAAGCCAACACAAGACAGGAAAGTGGATTCACCCAGTACGCCACAGCCTCTGAAGACCAAACTTCACCACCTGAACTAGGAAAAATACCTTTAGAGAGTAGGGAGACCTAACAAGAACCTGAAAAGAGAGAGAGAGATAGAACGAGGAACTGGGCGCAGTAGTTCATGCCTGTAATCCCAGCCCTTGACAGAGACAGAAAAACCCAGGAAATCAAGGTCATCAAAATTCAAGGTCAGTCAGTCTCAGTTACAGGAGACCCTTCCCCTGCTTTTTTTTAAGAGAGAAAAAAGCAAGAGAAAACAAATAGCAAGAGGGTGACCTTAAAATCCAACCATTAGTCAGGCATGGTGACTCACTCCTTTGATCCCAGCACTCGGAAGGAAGAGACAGAAGGATCTCTGTGAGTTTGAGGACAGACTGGTCTACAAAGCAAGTTCCAGGACAGACAGGGTTAGGGCTACATATACAGGCTCCGTCTCAAACAAAACAAAACAAACACCAGATCATATTTTGGTCTGGTTTGGTTTTTTTTAAGTGACAGAGTCTTACTACGTAGCTCTGGCAGGCCTGGAATTCAGCATGTACAACAGGCCAGCCTTGAGCTTCCCTCCCACCTCAGAGAGTGCTAGGATTATGAGTGTGCCACCAAGCCCAGCAAAACCTAATTCTATTAATAACTACATTATTAGGTGTGCAAAAATAGAGACAAAATAATGGCAATACTGAATTTATTTTCTTAAATTAAGCTTCTTAGTAGCTGTGAGCATTAACTGAACAGATCTGGTATGACTCTGAGGACACTTCTGGACACAGGGACCAGCTCTAGCACAGGTGAGTCTTGTCCAATCAGCTGACAGTCTGGGCAAAACAGAAGGCTGCCCCGCCCACCTGCCAGCCTCTGGCTAGGTCACAGGCTCCTCCTGAGTCTCCAGATTCAGACCTTAGGTTTCACCAGCTTCCACACTGTGCTCAAACCCTACTGGTTGTGTTTCTTTGGAGGTCTGAGAACAGATCACTAGAATGTGGCCTACTAAACAACTTGAGAGTGAAGTGCACACTAACATGTGAGGATATTGCAGTTAGACATCTCGAAAGCCTAACATACTTCTCTGGAATTCTCCACACTTTTGGAAGAAGTTTTAACAAAACTTAAATAACTTTTCTCAAATCACACACATTGATAATTGCGTGCAGCTCGGCGATAGAGCGCTCGCATTCAATAATATTAATAGCAACAACAACACCAGCACCTTCTAGACATGATGGCACATGCCTAGGATCCCAGTACTTAGAAGACTAAGAGGAATGTGAATTCAAGGCTAGCCTGGGCTACAGAACAAGCCTGTCTTTAAAAAATAAATACTGTGAGGATATTAGAAGACGTTACCTCTACCAGAAAGAAAAGACACTTTCATTTCTGAACAAACCTTCCAAAGTGAGCCAAGTTTTCTCTGAGAGGTGACTGACCAGAAAGCTTTCCCCCAAGAATCCAAACCAACCCCTTGGAGGTACACCTGAGCAGTACCTTAGGGGAAGGCAGAGCAATTACCATTACCACTCTAGCTTCAGCTATTCTGCTGAAGATACTGAGTCAGAAAATAGCCAAAAGACAAACTACTCCTTCAAAACCAGAACCACTCGGACACCAGAGGGGAAACCAAAGCAGAGGAAGCTGTTTGCTGTTCGGCCCACACAGGCCTGACTTACCTCCACGTGGCCACCTTTGGCTTCAGGAAGGTCAGCCCCAGCCTCTGGACAAGCTTGACGCCAAGCTTCCGCAACAGGGTCTGGTTGCTCTCGGGGAGTCTGCACCCTTCAAGGCACTGGAGCACCGTGTTGGCTGCAGACGAGAACATGCAGCTCAGTGCCGCAGGAGGTGGCATGCACCCCTGAAATGAGTCAATCCCACAGGCCCAAGGGAGGTGGTAGATAATTCACACTGAATCCCTGAGCAAGACCTCTTTCTTCCCAAGTCATCTGCCAAGAATTGCTAGAGTGAAGCCTCTTTATTTGTCCTAACCATGGAACAAAAAGTAGAAAAGGCCCAGAGCATAGGAGAAGCCATCTTGCTGTAGGCAATCATGCAGAGCCTGAGGGACACTCAGGCACAAGTGTGGGCAAACAAAGGTCATTCACATTTACCAGTGCTTCTAGGATCTGTTTTATTCAAGGGGTGCTCATTCAGCACTATGCAAGAATGGAGGCAATGCTGACGCAGGACACTGAGCCCTAAGGGAACATAGTAGAACGATCTCGTACACGAGACCCTGGGGTGCATAGGCCATCCAGGGAACTAAGGTGGGGCAGAATATGATAATGGCATTCTACAGACAAAACTAAAGCCTAGGATAGAAGCACAGGGCTAGGTCTCTGAGATGGGCTGGAAGAAAAATAGACAAGATTGAGACCAATCACATAAGGGTGAGGAGGAAAGAAGACAGAGTGGGAGTGAGCCGGGCAAAAAGTCTAGACAAAGAAATGGGACTGGGTGACAAGAGAAGTGAGCGAGGCCACAGGAAGGGAGGAGGATGGGGAGTCAACGGGAGGAAGACAATGAGAGAATGGACAGATAACAAAAAGATGGTGATGTGATGAAGAGGAGGGAGCACAGGGAGGAGGAAGAAGAAGGAATGAGGTAATGGAGTGACAAGACCAGGGAAGGAATGGGAGGACACAACAAAGAAGAAATGGGGTGGCAGGAAAGAGGGAAGAGGTGAAGCAATGCAGAAGGGGATGAAGTGATGGGGATCAGAAATGAGAGGCCAGAACAAGGTGGTGGTGAACCAAAGGAATGAGCGAGGAGGGGAGGTGGAGCCAATGCAGTGGGATATGGGAGGATGGAAGGGGCAGAAGGGACAGAAAGGAGAGGGGATGAGGGGATG